CATCTGGTTCTAACTACCTCCATCAGCCCTCTAACCCAATGGGTTTCCTCACTATTCATACGCTAGATTTTGGTATCTGCAATTAGTAAATTATAAATAAACTTACAAATATAAAAATTTAATAATATATTTACATTCACATTGACGCTTTTTTTTAAATTTTTCACTATCTGTATCATCTAAAATTTTTTTAGCTTCATCTTCTCCCTTTTCATTTTTGAAATATATACAGTTTTTCAAATGTGACTTAACTAGCCATTTTGTATTGACAAATTTATTTGAATAAGCATAATCTTGACCTCTTGCTTCTTTGCATGCAATACAGATAGCAAACCGATTATACTCATTAGACTTTTCTTTTAAAACATCTATAAATTTTGTCAAACGATGTCGGTTAGGTTTGTTTTTCCCCATTATTAATTATGAACTTAAAAAATATTGTTTCGCTTAACACAATTGCATTATTATTATATATACAAATTATTTTATAATGTAAGTAATATCTCATGAAATCGTAATTTAATATTTATTATTTTTATAAATGCGTAGCAAACTAATTATATTTATTAATTGCAAACTAATTTACTAAGCAAAAAAATTACAATAAGTTTCCTTCTATAGTAAAATTCGATAACAGATACGTAACAAATACATCATTTTTGAGTAATAGAAATATTTAATAATTACTAATGTACTACAACTTACTTTCATTAAAGTAAATTCGATATAGTAAAAATTTTATTCTCAGTCTGGGAATATCACTATGATAAAAGTAAGTTGAATAACTAAATTGAGTAAAGAATAGAATTTAAATATAATCATTTGAAGTAGAAGAAACGATACAGAAAAAAGAACAAGAAACCAGTAAATTAAGAAAAAGGATATAAGCTAATATACAATAACTATTTTTATTAATTATATATACTTTTTTTAATATCTAACTATCATTAAGTCTAACTCTCTTAATGAAATACTCTTTTCTAATTCTAATACTAAACTATCTCTCTCGTTTCAATTTGAGTTTATAATTAATTAATTAGTTAAGAGCTATTATTTTTTACAATGATATTATTATTTGATCGTACATTTTTTAAATAACTAAAACTACAAGTTTTTTGATTGTAAAAAAACATCAACTTATTAAGTTAGCATCAATTACTATATTAGTATATGAAATTTAAAATAGTAGTGAGTAATCGGGTAAATTTGAATAGTATATACTATTTTTATTTGTACTTGGTATTATCATTAGGATAGTAGTACAGTTTATAAATAGACAATTTATAAATTATTTAATAATTCCTGTTAATTCAGAAATTAGCATATGCTATTTGTGAATCAATTTACTTAAATAATATTTATTATCTAACGATAAGAATAGTTAAATGCTAAAAGACGAATTTTTGTATTTCTGTTTAAAGAATTTTTTTTTTAAAAAAAACGTTTTTGTTCATATTAAAGATGTTATTCTACTTATCCAAATTTGGCTCTATTAAATCTAAACCAGTTAAGCTTAAGTTTTTACGGCAATGTAATCTTTAAAACTTATAATACTAAACTAATTTTCGTGATTTGTAAAATTTTAATAAAGATAAACTACAATATTGTATTATCGCTATTTTCAAAATAGTTACGAATAATAATATTATCAAAAAAAATTTTTTGTGAATACTCAAATATCTGAATTTCTGATTAACTTAGAACTTGATCGATTTCCAGTTAATGATAAATTAGGCAAGTAATTGTTTAGTAATTACTATTTTATATATAGTTAGAAATAGATCTTTAATCAATGTAATCAATGTTCTAAACTAATTGGGTATCTTGATATTCGGGTATTCACAAAAAAATTTTTTTGAAAATACATATTATCATTCTTAACTATTTCGAAAATAGTGATAAATAAGTATGTTGTTTAAACTTTGTAATTTATTCGCAACATATGAAAAAAATATACTTAACAATATTTAAAGTATTGATTATTCTAGAATAAGCTTAGGCAAATTTATATAAATAGAGGAAATTTACAAGATTTTAGATGTATATAGTATAGAGTGTAAAATACCTCTTTAAAAAAACCAATTAACTATAATTATCTAATGCTAACGAAAATAATACACAACGCTAGAATAGTTATTAAATATAGGGTATTTCACACTCTATACTATACAGATCTAGTCTGCATAATTAGAAATGTTCTTGGCAGATGATAATTATACAGACTAATGCGGATAAGAAGTTAAATAAGAGTTAAACAGCCCATATTAAATAATTAGATCAATTAAACAAATAAATAATCGCTAAACTTGGAGACTAATGGTGTTCTCAATGTGATTAGCTAGCAACTGAGATAGTATATATATACTACGATTAATTAAAGCAATTCTTACTATAATTTTGCTAAAGATTCACATTGCAAAATGCAAATAATAAATTTTAGCCAACCAGAACAAGTCTATAACAAAAAAGGTAGGGTCAACCTTTTTTTAATCGAGATAATGAATCTATCTACTGGTTAAACTACTTTTAACAGATTAGAAATTGAGCTTCGATCTATTAATTATGTGCTTGAGAGAATTTTAAATCAATACGAATAAAAATTTAAATGAGAAATTAATTAATATATTGATTGATAATGTTGAATTGATTAAATGAAAAAAATATCATGTGAAAACCTGATATTATATGACGAAGAGTTTTGTAGACCAATTTCATCCTATATATTAAATATTTTTAGTGATGTTAATTTTTAAATACTACGTATATTGCCTTAAAATCATTATTACTGTAGCTACGTAATAATACTGCAGTACTGTATCGGTACAGTAATCTATTACAGTTTGAGTCATGGCTGGCTCAAGTCATGCTCTAGCCACGTGTCTTTAATAACCATGATCTAATCTGGTGCTATGACTTTAAAAGGCCTATTCAGTTGCAGCTAAAACCAGCTTCGGAGTAAGCCATTAACGGCTCTGAGAAGACAGTTGATAGTAAATACATATTTGGTTAGTTAATTCCAAAGAACAATAATAAAAAAAGCATTGATTGTCAATCACTTTAATTGAGACATTAAAGCAATAAAAAATACAAGTTGAACATTCGTTATGGTTAAACAAATCTCATACTACGTATATATATAAATACAGTGCTTAGTGCAGAATTTCATGTTTCATTGCAATTAATGCAATTATGAGATTTTGTAGATGCACATCACTAAAAATGCCCATATACTTCATAATATTTCATTCTCGGTATATGTATTAGTTTGTTAAAGCTAATATTAACGAAGTAAATAAATTCAATTAAATGGTTTTTTAAAGCTAGGTTATATGTAAATTCATGGTAACACTTATGCGATACTTTAATTTGATTGGTTGGATATCATGTGATTGAATATTACACAATGTCCAATGTCCAATACCTCTTGGTCCAATGGATTGGACTGGATTGGACAAGGGTTGTCCAATGTCTATGTCCAATGTCCAGCCCAAACTTGGCAAGATGCATGCAGGAGATATATGAGATGCATGCAGGGGTATGCAATATGCATGCAGGGGTATGCAATATACATGCAGGGGGTATGCAAAATGCATACAGGGTATACAAATTGTATAGTAATATTATACAATTTGTATATCTCTGCATGCATTTTGCATACCCTCTGTATGCATATTGTATACCCCTGCATGCATATTGCATACTCCTGCATGCATCTTATATACCCCTGCATGCATCTTGCATACCCCTGCATGCATCTTGCATACCCCTGCATGTATCTTGCATACTCCTGCATGCATCTTGCATATCTCCTACATACCCTCTTACATATTTTTAATTGTTATATGACTTATAAGCCGCAGGGGTGTGACAAATAAGCCTATTTAAGCCGACTTATTTGGAACACTACTTATCAAAGTGCTTTATTAATTAGAATAGTTAAGTATTAAAGTATAGTGTGTAGATAGTTTAGTTAGTATTACTCTATCCAAAAAGTTTTATTAATATTCACCTTTATACCGAATCCTTTTGTAAGTGAGGGTTGGGTTACAAATTGTGGTTTGTCACAGCTAAGTAAGCAATTGTTGGCATAAGACCAACTTACATTTCCTACAGATTTATCTTTATTCTTATTGCTATTTTAAGTTAGTGATTACTATATATAAAAAGTTATTCAAATTATACTTATCTCTATTGCTTATCAAGCTGGGCTTGTTCTGGTTGATAGTTCTACAATGTGCATTATAATGCTTAGCATATTTTCAATCTATTAACTTTATGTCAACTTGAATAAATTCTATTATTTTCAGTTTTTCTTACATTTGCTATACTTCATCACAAGTTTCATTATTTTCATTATTTAACACAAATTTCATTATTCATACTTTGTTATTTATAATTCAATATTGCCTGATAGCCATTTTGGTGACAAAAAAACTTTTATAATTTATTAGGCATTATATTTTATATACTTAATATTTTGTATTATAATAATTTAACTCTATATGCTTACGTATACATGTTTAAATTATAATTATGTTATTTTATATATTTACATATTAGATAACTTTATTCTATATGATTGATAGCTTAATTATTTAAAGCTTAATTAGAACTTGAATAATTATTGTTAAATAATGTTATTTTATATACTTATATGTTAGATAACTTTGTTCAATATGTTAATGTTTTAACTTTCAAGACTAAAGCTTAATTAGAACTTGAAAGTTATATAAATAGCACCTGGTTTCTTTTATAATTTTTTAGATAGATTTATTAAGCAATATGATTAAAATGGGTAATTGGTTAATTTTATTATTTAATTGTAAAAGACTATGAGTCTTACAGTTTGTGAGTTATAATAAAATTTGAAATTTGGCATTTATTATTTCTTTTGTTTAATTTTTTTAAATTAATAATTTATTTTTATTTAATTTTTATTATTTATTTATTTATTTAATAATTTTTATTTCTATTTTTTTTTTATATGCATATTCTTGAGCCTTGAGTTTTCTTTAATTTATCTATTTAATTTTTTTTAATTAATAATTTATTTCTATTTAATTTTTTATTACTTATTTATTTATTTATTTATTTTTATTTCTATTTTTTTTTATATATATATTCTTCGAGCCTCGAGTTCTCTTTAATTTATTTATTTATTTATTTTTATTTAATTAATAATTTAAAAACTTGTTATTGTCACCCTATTTTTGTTAAAACCACCCTCCAGATATCAAAAAGTGCTCCAGATAAGATATTTTTATTAAGTAAATCTTTATTTTGGCCTTAATAAAAGTTGTTCATTAGGCTATTTTGGTTCTAATGGTAGTAAAATCATTAAAATCAGGCTGGTAGTTTCTAAAATATATATATCTTTTTTTTTTTTTTTTTTTTTTTTTTTTGATATTAAGGTG